CACTCAGGCGCCAACAGGGAAGGCCGCGCTTGCCAAGCCCCAAAAGTGGATGGCTCTCCCCCGAGTTATCCGCCCTGGTCGTCGCCTCCGAGCAGCCCCCCCCCCCCCCCTTCCACTGCCCCCCCCCGCCCGCGGGCGCCCTGCCGGCCCTCCCCGCGCGTAGCTCGCATATGGGGCTCTCGATGGACCCCGCTTTGAATTTACGCTCTTGGCCCCAGTGGTCGCCCGATGCCAGGCAGCGGACCGCGGCTTGGCCGAGGGCCGCCTTGCGTCGAGCAGACCTTGCCGAGAGGTTCAAAGAAGGCAAGATGCGACGCGGCAGCGAGGTAGTTGAGCTTGGCATCGGCATGGCAGGGCAGCCTGTCCTCCGAGCCTCGCCCTGCAATCTTCTTCGCGCTCCGAGGGGAAATGACGCCTAGATCGAGAGCAACTCCTCGAGCGGCATGGATGTCCCCGAAGCGAGCGACCACCAAAGACGAAGGCAGGGCGCAACGGTCGCTGGCGCAGGACCGTTTACCAGAGAGCACAGGACCTCTCACAATACATCATTCCTGCCAAACTTTGCCAATGGCCGGGCATTTGCCGGCGGCCCTGCGAAGGGCCCTGGTCCAGCCCCGTGGAAAACATCGGTCCCGACATGCTTGGCCAACAAAAAAACTGCCCGAGAGGGCAGTTATCAAGGCCGATCGCGCGACTAGACTTCCCCATGCCGAGTCGCCCCGCGCTTCCATAAATGCCATTCCCATGATGACTAGCCACGTCCATTTTCCGCGCGCTCGTCGCCGCGCCCTCGTCGCCGCCCGCTGGCGCAGGACGCGGCCGAACCGCCGAGCTCGGGGCGCGGTGCCGGTCTGCTTCCCGTGCGAAAAATCGCAAAAGCGCGCCTCCGCGGCAGCCAGCCTGGGGCCGCGGCGGCCCGGAGCGACGGCCGGCAGCGCGGCTGTTCGTGACCACCTTGCCTTGGCTTCTTTCAACGCAAGGTGGTCGGCGATCGGGCGCGCGCGCACTTCGCGGTAGACCGCGGCCACCGCGCCGACGATGGCGGCCTCTCGCCCTGACGCCCGTAACTGTGCATCGTGCGCCGCGCTCCCAGGCGAAAAGGAGGGCCACGTCGGACGCGCGGTCGGGGATGGGGGCGACGAAGATGCGCACCAGGACGGCGTAGGAGCACTCAGCAGCCATTCCACTCAAGGGGAGGCGGAGAGAGATCATGAGCCGCTCTAGCGCCGAGATGCGCGGCGTCATGTCGAGGCCGATCAGGAACCGAACCAGCAGCATGGCCGGGCCTCGGCGGCTGTTTCCGCGTGCCCTGTGATGTATTCGTAGGCCTTCGCGAGGTCGAGCAGCACCGACAAGGCCGTCGCGCACCGATTCCCAGCATATTCGCAATGCGCCACCTGGTGCCACGCGCAAGAATCGCAGCTCTGGCCCTGGAGATGTACTCGCGCCGCAGGCTGTCGGCGCAGTGGCCGCCGTCAGCATGCTAGAACCAGCGCGTCAGAAGCCGCGCCGTGCCCTAAGTTCCGTACCGCCGTCCTCCTTCAGGTTTCGGTCGGAGGGCCTCGCGCATCAAACGAATCGCCTTTGGGGTGTGCTCCGCGCCGATCGTGGACGCTCACGGGTATGCGTTGGCCAGGATGGCCTGGCAGGTCCTGGTGATGAGGCGGCGGGGGTGCACCCCGCCGCGCGGGCGAGGCGCCGCGCCACTCGTCCAGCACAGTGGCCCCCTAGAAATAGGCCACGTCCAAGGTCATGGCGCACATGCCATGCCCAGCTGGCCACAGCCTGTGCCATGGCTCGGTGGCCTTGCGAACTCCGCCCTGCAAAGACTGAGCAACCCCAGGCGCGCAAATAACGGAAACAGCAACCCAAAATGCTCCCTGCTTGAACCGTTTGAAGGCGTGGCGCAAGCCGTCTTGACGGGTGGCATCGTGTGGCAAACCTGTCCAACTGTTGCGTCGTCGGTCGGCCGCCTGGTCGGCCGCCGGCTGGGCGCACCAGCGTAAAACGTGGTCCAGGTCATCGAAATCCTGTTCGCTGAAGTATCAGAGCGTGCGCACCAAGGCGCGCAACACCTCCCACATGTCGGGCTGGGTGGCTCCAGCACCGCGACCTGGAGCTCTCGTGGCGGAGGCCGTTGTAGGCCACAAGTCCTCGTGGAGTCGGAGCCACGCGAGGAAGCGAGTGTCGAACCGCTCACAGTGCGCTGGCGTGCCCTGGTCCGCCGCGGCCGTGAGCTGCGCGCCCGCGCCGCAGGTGGCCAGCTGCGCGTAGTCAGGCGGCGGCCACTGCGGCCCGATCACGGCCTCCGCTGGGAATGACCTGGTCGCGTGCATGGTGCCGATATCTGTCGGGAGGGCGGGCGCGTCCACCTTGTGAATCGCGCCCTTGCGGGTGAGGCCCGGCTGCGCGTCCATGGTCCACGCGCGCCCCGCCGCCAGGTAGAGGCCGACCGCGAACTAATCGATGATGCCGGAGCTCGTCTTCGTGTTGCGCGTGGCCTGAGTGTTGGGAGGGGCCCCGATTGACCAATACAAACTGCGGCCAACAAGACGGGCCGAACGGAGACGGAAACATATGTCACTCGCCGCCCGAGATGGGGGGGCCGCGGGGGATCGGGGGGGGCAGAGGGGGGAACGAGGGGGAGGCCTCGACGAGGAAAGAGACGGATCTAGCTAAATATATGGCCCGCGCTGGCGCGAGAACGACACTCCGAACGACGGAAGCAATGCGCCGATCCTGAAAGTGAGTTAGGGGGCGGGAGGTGAGTTGTAGACAAAATGCCGAGAGAAAACAAGCAGAGGGTGCGCGGAATGAGGACAAACAAAGAAGAACGAAGCCATGAAAGTGCGAAGACTAATGCTAGGTAGGTGGGTAATCTGTACAGAGCACGAAAAGGGAAGGGCTCAGAATTGTGATGGCGTCTTCAGGGTCCACAGGGGTCTTAGTGGAGCATCCATCAAATGCTCATCCTCCTTCCCCTACTCATTTCTCATGTTCCATGCCCCGCATAGTCGGTGACAGGAGCGAGGCGTTCAACAACCGCGAGGTCTGGCAAAGAGGCAACAAACAAAAACCCCACACAGCCTCCTCTCCTGTGAACTCTGATAAGGGGCCCAAGTGAGTACAGCCGACCTCCTGTTTGCTGTCGGCCGTTCCCCCTCACGACTCTCACGGCCTCTTTCTGGAACAGCTCTGCTGCTTCAAGGCGGAACGAATGTGCTGCCAACGCAGCAAGGCGTGTGTGAGACGCTGTCGTCGTCTTCGTCGTCGTCGCCAATCCAACGAATATTGAAGAACGAACAAAGGAAAGTAACGTCGTAATTCACTCGATTCACTTCTCTTTTTCCCTTCCCTGACGGGGGGTAGGGGGTGATAAGGGGGGGGATGGGGGGACGGGTAGGGGGAGGGGTCAAGCTACCCACCCTCCCGCAAGCCGTCTGGCTCACTCTCACCCGTCCTCCCAACACATAAGTAACACTCGAGCCTGAGACTGCTCAGCGGTCGCCTTTGGATGTGCAGCTACTGGGAACCAAAGCCGACCCCAGGTGCGCGACGCTTGGGCGAGGTGCGCCACTCGTGCCAGGGGCACCACGCGCGCCAGACACCCCTGGGGCCCGAGCGTGCCAGGCACGCCTGTTGCGCCAGATGCGCCACGTGCTCCGACTGCGCCAAGTGTGCCGCTCACTCCAGCCGCGCCAGGTGCCGTTCGGGGCACGTGCAGAGTGCGTCAGGTGCGACTGCGCACGTGACAGCACACATCGGGAAACATGTCGGCCCCCACCATCCTTGTCGAAAACCAATGCCCATCATTGTGTCTGGTGAGCCTGCGCACAGCAGGCCACGCGGCCACGCGCCACCACCCCCGCCGTCCCTGCCAAAAACCACTTGACACTGATCACGGGGTGGCCGCGCATGATCCAGATTTTGCCGCGAGGTGCATGTTGTATTGTTTTCTGTTGTCAGGGATGGTAGCCCTGCGCGCAGCAGGGGATATGCTGACACCCCCGCCGTCCCTGTCAAAAACAATACAAAGTGCTCGCGGTCCTCACGAACATGACTCAAGACTTTGCCCCAAAGTGTACTTTGTATTGTTTTGTAACAAGGGTGGTGGGGGGGGCATCGGGTTGGCCGCGCATGCTCCAAACGTAGGGGCAAAATGCGATTTGAATTGTTTTTTGACAGTGATGGTGGGGGGGTGCCCTCATGGGGTTGGCATGGTTCTGGGTTGTCTGCAGGCCGGGTGGGGGTGGGGGCATATACAAATGGGGAACAATGATAAAAAAGAGTGGTTCAGGAGGGGACTCAGGTCAGATTGCAGCAGCTTCCTGGGGGTCCAAACGGGTCCTGGGGGGGGGAGTCCCACCTGTGGAAGGGGGACAGGGAGGGGTTCCTCCTGCGGAGAACGGGGGGGGGGCGGCCCTGGTCCCAGCTCTAACCCCAGCCACGGCCGCCCCGGCCCCAGCCCCCACCCGGGCCTTGGTTGGTCGTGTAGCCCCGGCCGTGGCCGTGTATAGCCCTCGCCCCGAGGTCCCGGGAGGGAGCCCCCGGTCCCGGGGGAGGGTCGGCGGCACCGGCCGCAAGGACTTCACAATCGGCTGCACTGGTGACGAGATGGCGACCAATCTTGAGCCAGCGTCGAGCGTGATGACGTCGGATTCGACCAAAGAAAGAAAACCAGAGCTGTGGCGCCAAACCGTCGGATTCGACCAAGGACATTCGCGACACGGGCTTTTCTGTGCGCGCCCCCGAGTTCCTCCAGGAGATCCTGAGCTCGCCTCTCAAGAGCCCCTCCATCGGATCGAAGCAGACACTATCCGCCCGCTCATGGACCCGATCCCCTCATAACGGCCCCATTCGAACGCACACCCGTGACACTGCAAGGAAGGAGCGGATCTTGAACGCGTCAGTTCTATGCGTCAAGGCTGTTCAGCACGACAGCGAGCGACGAGGAGAGGGAACCAGAGCAAGCGCACAAAAAGCGGCGGGCGCCAAGTCGCCTGGGCGCGCGCACGGCCGAGGCACGCGAGCGTCGCCTGGAGGGCGCCAGAGCGTACCTACTGCGGGGGGGAAGGCGCGCGACCGCCCCGCACTCAGGGCGTTGCGGCCGCCGACTGGGTTTGCCATCGTAGTCGTCGTCGCCGTCGACATCGTCATCCCGCTACATTTTCCCCCTGTTCCGCCGCCGGCTAGGCCCCACAGACGGGCGCCACACTGGAGGTAAGTTCTTCGTGGCGTGGCTTTCTCTCTCCCTCTCCCGCCCTCTCTCCCTCTCTGCCCCTCGTATGTGGTTTCTTTCCCTTCTCGTCCTCCACCCGACAAAACCAAACCAGATCGCGCATGAACCGACCAAAACAAACCACACGGGGACAAACAAGACCAATTCAGACCAGAACAAGTCAGACCATATTGGGAGGGGGAAAGAGGATGACGCATCAGCAGCAGAAAACGAGCAACCACATCAAGGTCATCCTTCCTCTGCCTCCGTCCCCGCTTCCCCCTGCATTCCCCTCATCCCCGTTATCCTCATCCGCGCCCTGCTTCTTCTCTCACCATGATCGTAATCATTTTCCTCATCCGCTGCTCGTGCTCCATCTCTCTCCTCAACACTGTGGCTCTACGCCCAAGCCGCAGCCGCAGCCATCTTGCATCGCCGTCGTGGGCGCGTTATTCGTACAGGTGCCGGGCACCTAATCCCACCAGCCCTCTGGGCGTCGGTGGTTTAGGGCATTTCCTCTTCCACCCCTCCCTCTTCCCCTTCGGGGAGGGGTTTACCCCTCCCCCTACCCCCTCCCCACTGACCTGGACAGGAGGGGCGGGGAGCGGTCAGAGCGTCCAAAACAGCCTCGGCGAGGAAGCCAAAATCATTGATTTTAGAAGGGTTTTGGCCCCATTTTGGCCTCCTGGGGGGGCAGCGCTAATTGAAGCTCAGCTCTTCTTTGATAGATCTCCTCCAAGATGGCACAAAGAAGCGCCCAGGAGGCCCCAAGAGGTCCCAAGATGGCCCCAAGATGGCCCCAAGAGGCCCCCAAGAGGCCCCCAGAAGGCCCCCAAGAAGACCCTCAGAGGCCCCAAGAGGCCCCCCCCCCCGAGGCACCCAAGACCCCGAAGAGCCCCCCAGGATCGCCAAGAGACCCCCAAGACGTCCCAAGAGGCCCCCAAGAATCGCCCAAGAGATACTCCAAGAGGCTCCTAGAGGCATCCAAGAGACCTCTGGCCCTTGTGCTTGCCCTCCTCCTCCTCCTCCTCCTGTTCCTCCTTCCTGCTCCTACTCCTTCTCTTCCTCCTCCTCCTCCTCCTCCTCCGCCTCCTCCTCATCCTATTCATCCTCCGTCTTCCCACTCCCTCATCCATCCATCCATCCACCTCCTCCTTCTCCTCCTCACTCCTTTGCACGGTTCGGCCGTCCTCCTCTTTGCTGCCGCACTTCCCTGATCACCTCAACTCGCCTGGACATCGTTTCGGGATGGGCTGGTGGGGATAAGCGAAGCGTCTAGAATTACATGGTGTTGCCGACCGCCTACGAGGACTACTTTTGCAGCTGCGGCGACGCGTCCCTAGCGCCAGCGGCGGCTTATATGCTCAGCATCACGGCGCAGGTGTTCCGAGGCCGGCCCTGGGCTTCAACTCGGGGCTGCCGATTCCTTACGAGACCAATTGCCGTGCATTCGCGGGATGCTTCGTCGTCTGCCCCTGTCAACGCTCCACCTCGCTGGTTCGCATCCAGGGGCCCGGCATCGTCAAGGAGCTGCCGATCGCCTTCGATGATTACCCCTGCCGCTGCCGCTGCGGCATTGCGTCCCTTGCGCAAGTGGCTGCTCGTTGCTCCCTTCACGGGAGTCCGCGGTAGCCTCGCCGCCACAAGTGGACTCGGTGATTCTCGCGATGCCATTCTTGATGTGGCACTTTTCAGACTGATTGCAGTCGTGAGTTCGGATCGGCCGCCATTTGAGATTGATCGTTCGTTCGTTCCGCTGAGCATCATTTCCAGCTTACGGAAGAAATGCGCCAGCTCTTCGTCGGCCCTCTTCCCGCGCCCTGGGATAGTGCGCGCCAAAGGTAGCCTGGGCCATGTGACTGGACAACACCGTGTTCAGACCCTACTTCCGCGAATCGCACGATGCGCCTCGACATTTCCCGCCCCCCCACGGAATCGCCCCAACCCCCCGCGCGTTGATCGCCCCGATTGTCGGTTTCAGCCAACAACTGATTCATCGTCTCGCGCAGCCCCTTTGACTTAACCATACGTTGCCTCTTCGCTAGCAGGTCGGCTTCAATGGCGAAGTCCAGCGGCGCAAACGGAGTTGGGTATTTCAGGAAGTCCTCGGGGACATCGCTATCCAACGCCCGCTGGAAACATGGGCTGCGGCAACAACAAGGCGGCGCGACTGCTGTTCCCTCCCGCTCTGACAGACCAGCAACGCGCGAAGTCTCCGGCAGCGCCGCGCTCGATTCCGGGCGGTGCCGGCTCGTCTCCTGCAAGTATGGCTGGAGCTCCGCGCGCGCCGCGAGGTGGGGGGCCCTGCCAGCGGCCCTCTTCCACCGGGAGGCCCAGCACCCCCGCGTGAGCCTCCGAATGACACGCAAAGTCCACCCCCGCCAGGTCTTCCACCTCGCGAAGGGGATACTGGTCCTCCTGATTGGCCACGTGGAATGTTCCAGAGTTTCCACTTCTGCTAGTCCACGCAGCAGCGCTGGCCCCGCGACTGGCGGGGACTTATTCTCCGGCGAATCGTCTTTTTCGCCATCCCCGTTCCCCCCAATCGCCAAGATAGCCGCTCGACCCGCCGCCCCGAGAGGTCTCGGGCGCTCGACGATGTTTCTGGGAACTTTTCTCGTAAGCGCCCAAACCAAAAGTGCCTCGCCGAGCGAATCGCCGCCCCCCCCCGCCACCGAGAGTCGGCTTGCCGGGAAGGGGGCGGCCGCGCGCGAGGCGGGCGAAGGCGTCGCTGGCGCCCCCGGGGGGGCCCGCGCTGGATATCCACGGCTGCGCCAGGCGCGCGCGCGCGCTACTTGCCCACTTGCTCGCCTTCGCGCCCGCCTTCTTAAGAAACGATACTTTGGATCGGGCGCGGGCAACAGCGGGCAGGGGGCGCCTCTCAATGCAGCCATGGGCAGCCATATGCGCGCAGCGACTTTGGGGGAGCGGGCGCTGCGCCGTTCGCCCCGGCGCGGAGACGGCGCGGTCCGGGGCGCGCGGCCGTCGCGGCGCGCAGCGGTCGACACCGCGGCGGCGCGCGATCGGCCGCGCGGCGTTTGCGGCCGTTCGGCCGACGCAGCTGGGCCGCCCGCAGATGGCCCGCCGGGAATGCGCAAATATGTATTCGGCAGCGCGCCGCGCGGGGGACGCCCTGAAAAAGACCCGTTCGCTCTGGGCGCCGACTGCGCGCCTCGCTGCGACGCTGCGCCAGCGGAATCGCGCGGCGCGCCCGCGCCGCGGACACGCCGCAGTGAACTCGCGGGAATAAGGCCTCTCACCGCGGGTTCTTGCGCCGACTCCGGCGAACTTTGCCGTTATTTCCGATTTCCTTTCCGGCGCCGACCCCACCTTTGATGCAACTTTGATTCCGTACTGACACATTTGATTCCGCTAGAATCCTGGGTCGCAGCGGTGCCGATTCCGCTTTGATTCCATTGTGATTATGTGCTGATTCCTTTGATTCCCCTGTGCCCCGTCGACCATCAGGCCGCGGCCAGAGCTCCCGCCTCGGCGGCATCGATTCTCCTAGGGCGCGGGAGAGCCCGGAGAGGGGGCAGGAGGCGGAGCGATTCTCGGGGCGCTCAGGCGGTCGAAACGGGCGCGCTCTCGGCAAGGCGCGCGCGGGCGCGCGCGCCATCTCGGCCGCCGGCGCATCAATATGTTCATATCCCGCACCGCGCGCGGGAATTGGAAACTTGCGTTGTGGCTTCCAATTGGGCGCTCGGCCGTCGGAATTGCGTCGCATTGCTCAGCGCGCAACGAGCGCGCGCAACATGGGGGGGGCTTTGCGCTCCCGCGTGAGATGAGCGCGGAATCGCGCCGAACGATCGGCGGCGCCCGCTCCTGCGCCGCGCGCGAGGCCATCGCGTCGGCGAGGGAGGTTTCAAGGGCCCGGCCCGTCGCCCTGAGGCGCGGGCGCAGCGCGAGGCCCGCGCGGGGCTCTCGCGCTAAACTTGCGCCACAGATCGCCCCCCCCATTCGCTGGCGCTCGCGGGCGACGCGACGCCGGCGTCGACTGCGAGGCTGAATGGGCCCGGAGGATCCCCAGGACTCCTGGGCAGGGACAGCGGGCCGCACTGGAATCGGCTTGGTCGTCGGCGCCCCCCCCGCGCCCGCCCCCCCCTGCAAGCCGACTCCTCATGCCGTCGCCGGCGAGGATGTTGCCTATGAAGACCTGCTCGCATCGGAGTCTATGGGGGTCCGAGCTAGACGCGCGCGCCAAGAAACCCAATTCGATGATGCAGGGGAACTTGAGCAGAAGAGAATCTGATGTTCTAGACTGGCAATGTCCAGCCCGTGAGCGAGGCAAAGGGGCGGCATGAAACCGCATTCGGCATTTTCTCCAGCAGTCGCGCGGCCAACTCGTGCATCGCCACATTTCGCCACATCGAACCAGCGCGTGGCATTTCTGATGCGCGGCAAAAAACAGCCGCGTTGCTTGCGATGCATCCACATGGTTCGTCGCCGCTTCGGGGCTCTCATGGGCGGAGACCGCTTGCGCGCGAATGTTGGCGCTAAATTTCTGAGAGAGGGGGGGGGGGGGTAGATCTATAGGTGCGCCGCCAACGCTCAGTGCGTAGCACTCATGAACGCGTTGCCTCTGCTTGTTTACGCGCGCAGTCAATCGAGCGAATTCTGGCCCATGGTCAACCCCTCTCCCACGAAAAAAAAAGAATGCGTTTGTATTGCGCGCCAAATCAACTACGCAACGTTTGTCTGCTATGCAAGCGTGCAATCGCAAAGACCACGAACGCATTACTGACGGGGGTGATTCTCTTCGGCGGCCTCGGCTCTTCGGCGGGCTCGATTCTGGCCACGTGGGCCCTGGTTCCTCCTGTAGGCAATTATTAGTTAGCA